GCAAAAGATGTTGTGACCAGTGATACAATCCATTCGCAAGTTCTTTCGTATGCATACAACTCCGCTCATATTGATTTTATTTTTCTTACTTCAATTAATTCAAGTGGAAGTGATGTCTCAATCAATTGATTCATAACTAATCCTGCATGAGAAGAACATTGTTTATTATAAATTGTATGACAGGTAACATCTTTTTAAAAGACATTTAAAATTTACTTTTGTTGAGTTACATCCTCTCTTTTTGATCGAAAAATGAATTATCAACTGGTCATAATGATAAAATACAGTGAAGCAAGATATTTTGGAGATATTAAAATCCGTCTTGATCTGTCATACATTAGAGAAACTGTTCTAGAAGTTGATATAAGTCTCTTTCCATGCGCTTTTATTTTTATTAAAGTCCTAAATGAATATAGACTATTCACACAAGCTAGAACACCGTAAATTTTTTTAAAATTCTATTTTGTAGAAAATCGACTTTAAATAAGCTAAAACATTTTCAAACTTTTATTATTCATTCATTGAATTTAAAATACTCTGAAAATGCTTGATTTACTAAACAATAGAAATTCAATTTGATTTTCTAGAAAAATGGTTTTCAAAGGAATTAGAAAATCCATATAAATTCTAGAAAAAATCAAAAATGAAAGCAACTTTCTGGAAAATCATTGCAACAATGACCACTATAGAGTCATTGTTCATCCATCGATATAAGTCAGCCGACAGTGTTGTGCATTCATTATTTTCTCAAGCAACTGTAATGAGTTGATAAATTATATTTTTGTGTGAACGGATACGTGATATTTATTTATTTATTTATTTTATTCAGTAGATTTATCTGAATTCAATGTCTATGAATTTATTAAAAAAATAAAATTAAAATTAATTATTTATTTTATTTGATGCGTTAATAAAATTCAATATTTATGAATTTATTAAAATTGAAATTAAAATTAAGCTATTTATTTTCTTTGGTGTATTAGTGAAATTCAATGTTTATAAATTTATTTAAATTAAAATTATCTATTGATTTATTTATTTTATTGGGTGCATTTATATGAATACAATGTCTACGATTTTATTTAAATTAAAATTATTTATTTATTTATGTTATTGAGTACATTCATGTGAATTTAATGTTTATGAATTTATTCAGATTAAAATTAAATTTAAAATTAAGTCCGTATCTTATTTAACGCATTAGTGGAATTCAATGTTTATGAATTTATTAGAATTGAAATTAAATTATTTATTTTATCTGATGCATTTATGTGAATTTAATGTTTATGAATTTAGATTAAGGTTAAATTTAAAATTAGCTATTTCTTTTATTTGATGTATTAATGAAATTCAACGTTTATGAATTTATTTAAATTAAAATTAAAATTAAATTAAATTATTTATTTTATAAAACAAATAAAAGAAACTTAATTATGGAATAAAAGTGAAAATGAAAATGAAAATGAAATTCAAAATTGAATTTCAAATTGCTAGAAAATATTCAAATTGATAAAGAGAGTCCGAAATTCTAGAAATCCCCATATGAATTCACTTTCAATTTTCTAATTAGAAAATCAATTTTCTTATTCTTAATGTTTCGACTATCTTATTTTCAAAGAATTAAAAATTCATCGGTGAATTCATATGGAGACTCCTAGAATATCCTTCATTAAATTCTATAAATTATTTTCTAGTCTGCAGTGAAGATCAAAGTCGAAACCAGTCGTGGCAGTCTACAGCTCTTCTGCTTTTATCAGAATGGTCTTCTAAAAACTCGCACTCGTGATCAATGAAACTTATAATGAATTTTATGCGTGATTATGAGTGTATGAAGAAAATATATATTGTTCATGATTATTGCAGATATTTTGTGTTATTCTAAAGAAGGCAATCAAGAAGTATGTATATTTTTGATGCGCAAATTTTATTAAAATTGAAAATTATTGACAATACAGAAAAAATCAAGATAAAAAATGTTGAGAATCTGAGAAAATAAAACTAACTAATCAAGAATATGAATGAAAAAAACTAACTAAATAAAAAGATGAAAAGAAAGAACTAACTACTGAGCAATGTTCAATGTTAAGCATAAGATTGTAAGAAAATGCTTGATTATCGGTGTTGATGAGCGCTTGTGGCATGTTTTCTATAAAGAAAAATTATCAATGTGTTATCATTAAAACAATATATTGATACAACATACCTGCTTTATGGCTGACAATGACCACTAACACACTTAAAAGTACAAAAACCTTTAAGACCATTAGCTGTACCTGTAGGAAAAACAGCAGCACCAGCAAGAGCAGTATCAGGAGCAATACAAGCAGCACCATGACCACAATTACCAGCACCATTAGAATGAGTATTACAACGATAATAGCTGTTAGGACCAGCAGCTTGAGAATTATAACAACAATCAATACAAGAATCACCAACACCACGACAACCACGAACACACACTAACAGTAGGAACACAAGTATCAACACTCGACTGAAATATTTTCCTCGATTCAAACCAAAGATTTCAAGCTGCTTTTGTTGTTGAAGAATAAGCAACAAGGGAGTAATTCATAACAACATTCTCTTGAAAAATTTTCCTCCAATCGTACCAAAGAGTTTGCGTTGGTTTTGTTGTTTAAGAATAAACAACAAACGAATAATTCAAAGTAACACTCTATTGAAATATTTTGCGTAATTCGAACCAAAGATTTCGAGATGATTTCGTTGTTTAAGCATAAACAGCAAGAGAATAATTCAAATTAACACTCTATTGAAATATTTTCCTCAATTCGAACGAACGATTTCGAGTTGGCTTTGTTGTTTAAGAATAAAGATCAAGCGAACAATACAAAGGAACACTCAATTGAAATATTTTGCTCCATTCCTACCACAGATTTTCAGATGATTTCGTTGTCGAACAATAAACAGCAAGAGTATAGTGCACATTAACACTCTATTGAAATATTTTGTTCGATTCCAACGAAAGATTTTGAGTCAGCATTCTTGTTTAAGAATACAGAACAAGCAAATAATTCAAACCAACACTCTATTGAAATATTTTGTTCGATTAGAACCAAAGAGTTTGAGTTCATTTCGTTTGTTTAAGAATAAACAGCAAGAGAAACACTCACATCAACACTCTATTGAAATATTTTCCCCGATTCGAACGAAAGATATTGAGTTGGCCTTGTTGTTTAAGAATAAAGAACAAGCGAATAATTCAAATCAACAGTGTATTCGAATATTTTGCTCGATTCGCACCAAACTTTTTGAGTTGATTTTATTGTTTAAGAGTGAACAGTAAGAGAATAATCCAAACAAGCGCTTTGTTGAAATGTTTTGCTCGGTTTCAACCAAAGATTTTGGGTTCATTTCGGTGTTTAAGAATAAAGAACAACGGAATAGTTGAGACTAACACTCTGTTGAAATATTTTGCTGGATTAGAACCGAAGATTTTGACTTCATTTTGTGGTTTAAGAGTAAAGAGCAAGGGAATGATTCACAACAATAGTCTGTTGAAGTACTTTGCCCGATTAGAACCACAGATTTTGAGTCGATTTTGTTGTTTAAGAATAAACAGCAAGCGAATAATTCAGAGAAACACTCGATTGAAATATTTTGCTCCGCTTGCACCGAAGGTTTTGGGTTGATTGTGTTGTTTAAGAATAAACAACAAGAGAATAATTCAGAGGAACACTCGATTGAAATATTTTGCTCGATTCGAACCAACAATTTTCAGTTGATTTTCTTGTTGAAGAATCAAGAAGAAGCGAATAGTTTAAATGAACACTCCATTGAAATATTTTCCTCGATTCGAACCTAAGATTTTAAGTTGATTTTGTTGTTTAAGAATAAACAAGAAGAGAAGAATTCAAAACCGCACTATATTGAAATATTTTTCTCCATTCGACCCAAAGATATTGAGTTGATTTTGTTGTTTAAGAATAAGCAGCAACAGAATAATTCAAACAAACACTTTATTGAAATATTTTGCTGCGTTTGAACCAAAGATCTTGAGTTGATTTTGTTGTTTAATAATACACAACAAGGGAATAATTCAAAACAACAGTCTGTTGAAATATTTTACTCGATGAGAACCAAATATATTGAGTTGATTGTATTGTTCAAGACTAAACAACAAGCAAATAATTCAAACCAACGCTCTATTGAAATATTTTGCTCGATTTTCACCATACATTCTGAGTGGCTTTTGTGGTTCAAGAACAAACAACAAGGGAATAAATCAAAGCAACACTCTATTGCAGCATTTTGCTCGATTCCGACCAAAGATTTTGGGTTGATTGTGTTGTTTAAGAATAAACAACAAGAGAATAATTCAAAACAGCCCCATATTGAAATATTTTGCTGGATTCGAACCAAAGATTTGGAGTTGATTCTCCTGTTTAAGAGTAAACAATAAGGGAATAATGTAAACAAAAGCCCTATTGAAATATTTTGCTCGATTAGAACCAAAGATTTTGAGTTGATTTTGTAGTTTAAGAATAAACAACAAGGAAACAAAACAAAGCAACACTCTATTGAAATATTTTACTCGGTTTTCTTCAAAGATTTTGAGTTGATTTTGTTCTTTAATAATACACAGCAAGGGAACAATTCAAATCAACATTCTATTGAAATATTTTCTTCGGTTCAAGCCAACGATTTGGAGATGATTTTGTTGTTTAACAATAAAGAAGAAACGAACAATTCACAGTAACACTCTATTGAAATATTTTGCTCGATTGGAACCAAACATTTTGAATTGATTTTGTTGTTTACGAATAAACAACAACGGAATAAATCAGAGTAATACTCTATTGAAATATTTTGCTCGATTTTCACCATACATTTTGAGTCGATTTTGTTGTTTAATAACAAACAACAAGGGAAGAAATCAAAGCAACACTCTATTGTAGCATTTTGCTCGATTCCGACGAAAGATTTTGGGTTGATTGTATTGTTTAAGAATAAACAACAAGAGAATAATTCAAAATAGAACTATACTAACATATTTTGCTGGGTTCGAACCAAAGATTTGGAGTTGATTCTCCTGTTTAAGAGTAAACA